ACTGCCCCAAGGCACAAATCCTTTCCTTGTCCTTGGACAGTACTGCTACCACCAAGTTATTTAGACAAAAATTCAGGAAAAAGGGCCACTTGGAGACGCTGTTTCCCCAAAATATTTCCCCAAACCCCTTCATTCCCTTTCCTGGCGAGGCTTGAGAATAATATACAAACCAATTGGTTACAATGTGAGCACAGATCAAACCCCTTAGTTTTTAGGGCACTGAAAATCAATCAGGTTCTTAAAAGAAGATTAAAAAAAATCACACCTGCAAAATCAGGATGGAAGGTAACTTTACAGGGTAATAAAAAGATTTAAAACACACAGGATTCCCCTCTGACTCTGCTTTCCAGTTACAAAACAGGAATGAAATTACGTCTTAGCATAGGGAAAATTCACAAATGATAATTTAACATTTCCTTGCCTTACTTACAATTTTTGTATTCTTAGATGCTCATTTCAGGTAGGTTTTCAGAAGATGTTTTTCCTGCCTGGTTCCTCTCTTCGGTCCAGAAAGGGAACAAATGGAGAGCACAAACAAAACCTCCCTCCACAGATTTGAAAGTATCTTCTTTCCCCATTGGTCCTTCTGGTCAGGTGCCAACTAGGTTAATTGAGCTGATTAACCCCTTACAGGTAAGGCAATTCAGTATAGCTGCCCTGTGTATATTTATGACAATTCATATCTGCTGTAGGAGGGGTAGAAGCTGTGATTGCACCATGCTACCAGTCACCATATTGAGCAGGCAAACGGGGTTGGGAGTGGGGTGCATTTGCAGGCAGGACAGATGGAGGAAAGGAGAAAGGAAAATAGGTAGATGGGCATGTGCCCTCTGTGGTCAATAGCTGGGGCTTTAGCATGAGACAGAGGCTAATTCCCCAGCTGGAGCAGCCAACATTTTAGAAAAACGCAGGGGGAAAAAGATGAAAATGGACAGCATGGGCCGAGGGAGGGAAGGGACCTCAAAGACTCCTAGTTCACATTTGCTTAGAATGGCTGCACCCCTGGGGAACTTGGCACAGAGGTAGCACAGCCATATAGCACAATAATAAAAAATGGTAAAGATGCTGAGGTTGCCTCATCAGTCCTAGCCTGGGCTGCTACCTAAGAATTGGGCTCAGTTACTGGAGGACTTGGGCCCGCCTTCTAGTTGCCTGGTGTCATGTTCCTGAATTCCAGTGATCCTGGCTTTCTGAGGAGATCTCTTCATTGGCCTCCTAGTGCTCATCCTCCAGTGTGTGTCATGCTGTTCATTGTCTGCTAAAACAGCACACACCCGCAGAGCTGGTCAAAAATTTTCCAGTGGAACACTATACCACTGGAAAATGCCATTTTGTCAAAACTTTCATAGACATTTTAATTTCAATGAAATTTTGTTTAAAACATTGAAATGAAGCATTCTCATAAGGAACAATGTTTTGATTTTTCATTCTGAAATTTTATATTATGCATTACATATTTTTTCAAACATGTTTTGCAGGAAAATAAATTTTTCATTCCAGTTCAGAACAAAAAAATTCCAAAATCCCAGAATTTCTCATGGATTGGAAACTTAATTTCAACTAGCACTACACACCAGCTAATGGGCAGAGGGCTTTTTATATAAATTTAAATCAGATACTAGTAACAACTGCTAGAAAACTTGTGCCTACTTTGGATGCAGCAGAGACCACACAAGCTAAAGCAGGTGCCAGAAAAGCAACATTACTCATTGGATTGCGAAAAGAATGGTCAGTCATTCATGAAAATATTTCAGGAAATCAAGGTGTAGATGGACATAACTGCTGATCTCCTCAGAAGTTTTTTGAGCAAAGATATTGATGCACAGGAATCTTCTTATGATGGAAATATGGCACACAAATTGTCAGGATATAGAAGACAAAGCTAAACAACATAGATGGAGAACAAAGACAGTGAAAGATTCAGGAAACAGTATCATCACTGCAGGATCCTTGCCAATGCTGCTTACTACTAGAAAGTAGTGTCAGTCGCAGATACTGGCAAACTACTGTATAATAAATAGCCAATATGCTTAAAGGGCCCACTCTGCAATGCCTCGTATGACATGAGAGTTCCTGCCAAAAACTTACAACATAAGTAGACAAAAGGTGGGAGAACAGAAAAATTACGATCCCCATTTTTAAACAAGGAACTGAGGAAAAGGAAAATTAAGTGATTTGCTGAGTCTCACACAGTCTCCCAGGGCCCAGTTATGTACCTTATCCAGATGATCCTGTTGTACTAGTAGAGATTCTGACAGCTGAAAATGCCATGCAAATGGCCATTCTATCCGACAGAAGACATATTAGCAAACTGTCATGGGATAATATTATGACACCTTCCAGCAGATAAAAGCAGAAGTGGAAGTATTTGCCAGTTCTATTCTATTCCAATAGCTAATGGAAACCGCTAAGGATCGCTGATTTCACAGCTACAGCTGTTGAGTTTTGGGGGCATGTCATAAATATAAAGGGAAGGGTAAACCCCTTTAAAATCCCTCCTGGCCAGAGGAAAAATCCTCTCACCTGTAAAGAGTTAAGAAGCTAAAGGTAACGTCGCTGGCACCTGACCAAAATGACCAATGAGGAGACAAGATACTTTCAAAAGCTGGGAGGAGGGAGAGAAACAAAGGGTCTGTGTCTGTCTGTTGCTTTTGCCAGGGACAGAACAGGAATGGAGTCTTAGAACTTTTAGTAAGTAATCTAGCTAGGTATGTGTTAGATTATGATTTCTTTAAATGGCTGAGAAAAGAACTGTGCTGAATAGAATAACTATTTCTATCTGTGTATCTTTTTTGTAACTTAAGGTTTTGCCTAGAGGGATTCTCTATGTTTTGAATCTAGTTACCCTGTAAGGTATCTACCATCCTGATTTTACAGAGGTGATTCCTGTACTTCTATTAAAAGTCTTCTTGTAAGAAAACCGAATGCTTTTTCATTAGTCTCAGATCCAAGGGTTTGGGTCTGTGGTCACCTATGCAAATTGGTGAGGATTTTTGCCAAACCTTCCCCAGGAAGTGGGATGCAAGGGTTGGGAGGATTTTTGGGGAAAGACGTGTCCAAACTACATTTCCCAGTAAACCCAGTTAAAGTTTGGTGGTGGCAGTGGAAATCCAGGGGCAAAGGATAAAATTAATTTTTACCTTGGGGAAGTTTTAACCTAAGCTGGTGAAAGTAAGCTTAGGAGGTTTTCATGCAGGTCCCCACATCTGTACCCTAGAGTTCAGAGTGGGGGAGGAACCTTGACAGGGCCACCTAAGGCATTTAGGGCTGGCAGGGAGTTAAAGTTATCTCATGGGTTAAACTGAACTGCCACTCCTACCCCGTGTATTTTACTAGGGAAACGATATAACACACTAAGTTTCTAACAAAGGGGAGGAAGTCAGAAGAGACATGAAACAGGAGGAAACAAAGGAGAGGGAAAATACCCATGAATTTTCTATCTTAAAGAAGGTAATTTCCCCACTCCCACCCCGGCTTCAATTGAAAAGCTGAACTACAGCACCAAGTTTACAACAGAACCTTTTTACTTAAAAGAGCAGTGGGCCAGGGTCATTCAAATCCATGGAAGGAACTGAGGTAGAGCCATTTCAGCCTTCTGCTAGCATTGTAGCTGGGAAATAATTAGCTGTGATTTGACTGCCAACAGATTTTCTGAAGTTTAAGAAAGATACACAACTAACAAAATAGGATAGACAGTCAGCTACCTGGAATCCACTAATCCTTGCACTTCCATGAATTTAGAAAATTGAGTCAACTACCCCTAGGCTTACCTGACAACTGTCAAAGGGCCCCATCCTATTTACCCGTGATATTGTACCTGCAGCACATACTATTCCTGTATGCCCAAACAGCTAGTATGATGGAATCTATAGCGTCCCTCTTGCAAGGTAGATAAAAGTATGTGGGTTACTTCTCACCTTTTAAGAAAAAAGAAAAAATCCACTTAGTTATCTGAATTCTCCGCAATCCTCATTCATGGTCATGCTGAGCCTACACCCTTAAATCCATGTTGTGGCTTCATCTTTTGAAACAAAAAGTAGCTACAAAACAACCACTGAAGCAAGATACTTAAATGCTCTTGAAAGTATTCCTTTGAAAGCTAGTCCTAGAATTTTCCCAGGTAAGATTTTTATTTCTGGAGTGGTGTTTGAGACGCTATGTCAACTGGTACTACACTGTGTTCGATTAAGTTCTTGCCCATTCCAACCACAGGTTGTCTTTCCTTTTAATGTTGGTAATGACAGCAACAAACTAAAGTATCCAGAGGGAAAGGCTGTTTTCATGTTAAATACAGGCTAAGAAAGGGAGATGGGAGGGAACGGCCTATAACCAACAGTAGGATTTAGTGACTGGCACTGGGTAGAGAGATCAGTTATTGACTGCAGAATGGTAGGCAAATTACTAAAAGTCTCCCCTGCCCTCCCTCAACACATGAGAATTTCCCCACTTGGGGAAGTTCTGAGATCCTCACAAAGTATGCTGTGTAGATGATTATACTGTGAGGGATGGAAGGCTTTCTAATGACTTAAATCAAGCGTGCTTGGGTAAAGGGCACCAGCCATAGCAGAGTCAGTGTAGAGAACCATACTAGTAAGAATCCTCAGAATGTTTTTTTAACATTAGCTTTAACAAAATGTTTAAATCTATAGTATTAAGATTAGCCATCTTATTATGAAGTATTCTAGCCTTAGTAATTGCAAATTATCCATCAAGTGCCTCCTCTACACTAGAGATAGTAATTGTTACCACAATTACTGTTTAGTTTTGATGAAGCCAGTGTTCCTATTGCATTATGAAAGGTTATTGGAGCCCTCTAGTGGGCAGGACAGCTCTGGAAACTAAGATAGCTAGCAGCTTCAGTTTTGAAACAAACAGGAAGTGCAAGAAACTTTTAAAGTGTTGCATCATAGCTATTGTTTTTGCAAATCTTTATCACTGTCAGTTATCAGATGGAGATAAGCAAATGAGCCAAATCCCTATATTAAAGTGACCACCACAAATGATAACAAATGTACTTTAATTCATTAGGTGTAATTTACAAGTGATTGAATTTAAACAATTAGTAGTTTAATCTGAATTGCAGAACTCAAACTGCAGTACACTACACATTCCAGTCATCCCCACTACTCAGTTATCCCCAGTATTAAGAAATAAGGCATATTTCAGGTGTGCAAGTCATGAGTGGATGCAATTCTTAGATGCCATATTTGCCCTTTAATTCTTCCACTTTAGCTATGTAAGCTTTCATTGCCTCTTCTTTGGCTATTCCTGAAATGAGAAGACATGCATCAGATGAAGACTAAAATGTTCTAGCCATATTCCCCACAGAGTACTTGTAATAGCCACTTGTTACACTTAAAGAACCAAGTTCTCCCCACTTCAGTTGTCTAGTAAGATCTATGAAAAAAGAAAAGGAGTACTTGTGGCACCTTAGAGACTAACAAATTTATTTGAGCATAAGCTTTTGTGAGCTACAGCTCACTTCATCGGATGCATTCAGTGGAAAATACAGTGAGGAGAATTATATACATAGAGAACATGAAACAATGGGTATTACCATACACACTGTAACCAAGAGTGATCACTTAAGGATCAACATCCTCTACAGCAAATAGGGAAAGATTAAGAATGAGCTCTCAAAACTGGATACTCATTAAAAACCAACCTTCCACACAAACTTCCTAGTGGCTGGACTTTACAAAAAGTAGACAAGCCATTTACAACACACACTTTGCTTCTCTACAAAAGAAAAAGGACACTAAACTACTACATGCCACAAGGGGCCACAACAGTGGTTCCCTTAACCCACCCAGCAATATTGTTAATCTATCCAACTATATTCTTAGCCCAGCAGAAGAATCTGTCCTATCTCGGGGCCTCTCCATCTGTCCCTCCACCCCCACGAACATGATACAGTTCTGTGGTGACCTAGAATCTTATTTTTGACTCCAACTCAAGGAATATTTCCAACACACCTCTGAACATACTAACCTACACAGAGCTTCCTACCAAGACTACAAAAAGAAGGATTCTGGGTGGACTCCTCCTGAAGGTCGAAACAGACTGGACTCCTACATAGAGTGCTTCCGCCGACGTGCACGGCCTGAAATTGTGGAAAAGCCGCATCACTTGCCCCATAACCTCAGCCGTGCAGAACACAATGCTATCCACAGCCTCAGAAACAACTCTGACATCATAATCAAAAAGGCTGACAAAGGAGGTGCTGTTGCCATCATGAATAGGTCGAAATACGAACAAGAGGCTGCTAGGCAGCTCTCCAACACCACTTTCTACAAGCCATTACCCTCTGATCCCACTGAGGGTTACCAAAAGAAACTACAGCATTTGCTCAAGAAACTCCCTGAAAAAGCACAAGAACAAATCCGCACAGACACACCCCTGGAACCCCGACCTGGGATATTCTGCTATCCCAGAACCATAAACCTGGAAATCCTGGATGCCCCATCATCTCAGGCATTGGCACCCTGACAGCAGGATTGTCTGGCTATGTAGACTCCCTCCTCAGGCCCTACGCCACCAGCACTCCCAGCTCTCTTTGAGACACCACTGACTTCCTGAGGAAACTACAATCCATCGGTGATCTTCCTGAAAACACCACTCTGGCCACTATGAATGTAGAAACCCTCTACGCCAACATTCCACACAAAGATAGACTACAAGCCATCAGGAACAGTATCCCTGATAATGTCACGGCAAACCTGACAGCTGAACTTTGTGACTTTGTCCTCACCCATAACTATTTCACATTTGGGGACAACGTATACCTTCAAACCAGTGGCACTGCTATGGGTACCTGCATGGCCCTACAGTATGCCAACATTTTTATGGCTGACTTAGAACAACGCTTCCTCAGCTCTTGTCCCCTAATGCCCCTACTCGTGCTACATTGATGACATCATCATCTGGACCCATGGAAAAGAAGCCCTTGAGGAATTCCACCATGATTTCAACAATTTCCATCCCACCATCAACCTCAGCCTGGACCAGTCCACACAAGAGATCCACATCCTGGACACTACTGTGTTAATAAGCGATGGTCACATAAACACCACCCTATACCGGAAACCTACTGGCCGCTATTCCTACCTACATGCCTCCAGCTTTCATCCAGACCACACCACATGATCCATTGTCTACAGCCAAGCTCTACGATACAACCGCATTTGCTCCAACCCCTCAGACAGAGGCAAACACCTACAAGATCTCTATCAAGTATTCTTACAACTACAATACCCACCTGCTGAAGTGAAGAAACAGATTGACAGAGCCAGAAGAGTACCCAGAAGTCACCTACTACAGAACAGGCCCAACAAAGAAAATAACAGAACGCCACTAGCCATCACCTTCAGCCCCCAACTAAAACCTCTCCTATGCATCATCAAGGATCTACAACCTATCCTGAAGGATGACCCATCACTCTCGCAGATCTTGGAGACAGGCCAGTCCTTGCTTACAGACAGTCCCCCAACCTGAAGCAAATACTCACCAACAACCACACACCACACAACAGAACCACTAACCCAGGAACCTATCCTTGCAACGAAGCCCGTTGCAAACTGTGTCCACATATCTATTCAGGGGACACCATCATAGGGCCTAAATCACATCAGCCACACTATCAGAGGCTCGGTAACCTGCACATCTACCAATGTGATATATGCCCCTCTGCCATGTACATTGGTCTAACTGGACAGTCTCTACATAAAAGAATAAATGGACACAAATCAGACATCAAGAACTATAACATTCAAAAACCAGTTGGAGAACACTTCAATTTCTCTGGTCACTTGATTACAGACCTAAAAGTGGCAATACTTTAACAAAAAAACTTCAGAAACAGACTCCAACGAGAGACTGCTGAATTGGAATTAATTTGCAAACTGGATACAATTAACTTAGGCTTGAATAGAGACTGGCAGTGGATGGGTCATTACACAAAGTAAAACTATTCCCCCCACCCCACTGTTCCTCAGACGTTCTTGTCAACTGCTGGAAATGGCCCACCTTGATCATCACTACAAAAGGTTCCCCCCACCCCCACTCTCCTGCTGGTAATAGCTCACCTTACCTGATCACTCTCATTACAGTGTGTATGGTAACACCCATTGTTTCATGTTCTCTATGTATATAAATCTCCCCACCGTATTTTCTACTGAATGCATCTGATGAAGTGAGCTGTAGCTCATGAAAGCTTACGCTCAAATAAATTTGTTAGTCTCTAAGGTGCCACAAATACTCCTTTTCTTTTTGCAAATACAGACTAACATGGCTGCTACTCTGAAACCTGTTAGCAAGATCTATGTTGCACTAGAAACCTTTGGCAAACCACTTTAAAACAGCTGGAGGATACACAGCTGCTTCCTGGAAGCTCCTTAGTGCCAATCACTTTGTATTAAAAGAAGTGAATTGTGAAGTTACAGGGCTGGTGAGCAAGTCTCATACTGCAGTAGAGTAGTAAGAACTCAGCTGGAACAGTAAAATATTACCAAGCAGTCAGAACACTTTGAGTATGCCATAGCATCATGAGATTAGTGGAGGCTGTAACCCATTCATTGCAAGCAATTCTGGGGAGACATTCTAATTTGCATGCCATAGCACAGTCAATGAATGAAAGTGGGCCACCCACCTTAGAGTTATAGCTGCAATTCCTCCTAGGGATTCATTTGTTTGTCCAGCCTTTGTGCTGTAACCTTTAAACTGATGCTCAACTACTTGGCTATTTAGTAGCAGCAGCCTAAATGCTCACAAAATTAAAAAATATTACACTCTTGATCTAGTGCAGTGGTTTTTAACCTGTGGTCTTCAGAGCTGCATGGGCCCACATACTATGTTTAAGATTTCCAAAGGTGTCCATACCTCAATTTGAGATAAGGGTCTGCAAATGACCCTTAAAGATTGAAAGCCACTGATCCAGTGAGAACATCTTATTCATAAGGTTAGCTCTATAGGCACAACTGTGATGGGGTAACCCCTGCACAACAGGAGTTGCTCCCTATAACAACTTGTTTGTGTCACCCATCCTGTACCTTGCCCTTTTCCAAGCAGGAATTACCTGCCTTTCCCCCTTCACGTTCTCCCTTCCCCGACCCCCCAAACAAAAGGGCCATGGAGTTAGAAGTGGAGTTGCTTCTCTTTCCCACCAAGTTGGCCCCAAGCAACATCAGCTGTAATTCCTTGCATCATAGGAAGTGTAGGCTGGCCTCTTTCCTGACAGGGCCTGCATACTACTTCCAGGTGACAGACTTTCCCCAGCAGGGGTTGGGTTTAAAACAAAGCAGCTGCAGGACAGGCAATATTTTAAAAAACCCTTAAAAGTTTCATACATGTAGAAGTGGGATTTACATTCTTGGTTGGACAGTTTACAACATTTTTGTTGGTTATAATTTGGTATTGCATGTGATTTGGTGTTGCCTTCTAGAGAAGGAGCCTACATTCCTTTCAGGATTCCCCCGGAAGGTACTTTGACAAAGCATGCAGCTTTGTTCAGTCACAAGCCAGTTTACTGTGTCTAAAAGACATCTTAATGCCAAGTTACAATTCCTTGCTATGTGACTAGGTGGCATGCAGTCAAGTTGTAAGGAAGTTAAGAGGGACACTCCAGGCTGTTGGATCTATATTAGACCTGCTCTGATTTGTTTGCAGGGGCATCTGTCATTCTTTCCGCAAATGACCGTTGAACAATGACTTGAGACACAAGCTTACTCTCCAAGACAACATTTGGATATAGTGCAGATAATAGCAATACACCTACCCCTCGCTGTGTTAGGAGAGGGTGGCTCAAAGCAGTTTGCCTTTTAGGTACATTGCTACCTTAGTCTTGGACTTCACATCTGTGAAGTGATTAGGTGAGCTGAGGTCCCAGCGATAATCCCTCTTGATTGGAAGAGCAATTTAGTTAATGCAATGGAACACAGAAACTGCATCAACATTATTGAGGAGAAGAATGATCCAGTCGTTTGGGTGCTAGCCTGGCACTTGGCAGACCAAGATCAATTTCTTGCCTAAGGTTACACAAGAAGTCTGTTGCAGAGCAAGTCAGTCTGTGCCTCACTTCTCCGTATGCAGAGACGGCTAACGGTACTTCCCCACCTCAGAAGGATGGGAGGAAAGGTTAAAGACTGAAGTGCTCAGATACTATGATAATGGCTATATAAAGATCTAAAATAGATATGTATAAATAACCTGGGGCACTTTTGTAATTAGGTATTGATTTGAACAGTTCAATGCCAGTTCAGAAGTACCACATTAGAAGCGTTAAGTCTGCTGTCCTACAGTGTTAACTATCCATTAATTATATCAGAGTATATAGGTAAGTGAGCCTGAACCTGCCAGCAGCAACTACTAATTGTCTTGGACATGTAGTCACAGAAGACTTCTACTCATTCATTAAGTAGCGAGAGTATTAGGATTTGTGACCAACCCTGCTGTTTTCATGTCATCTTTAATAAAGGACTTACCTTTTAATGCATTCCAGGCATCCCACTTTGCTTTGCCTTTGAAGTCAAGAAAGCCAGGGCGCTCTAGAGGAGACAATATTAGCCATAGAAGAGTCAGTGGATACAAACCACACTGTTGGGAATCTCATGTCCTTTCAGGAGATTGCTCTAGATGTGGTGGTTCTGTGTCACAATGGTCTCTCATTTCAGAGATTATACTTCCTGAATTAGCTCTTTCTAGACTACACTCTATTTTGTTCAGAAGCTGGGGAAAGCCAGTTATAACTTTCTAGCGTTAACAGAACTCCACATTGTCATCTCTACTAAGTTTATTATCTATTGTTGGTGAGAACTCAAGTTTACTATGACTCAATTTAAACTTCAGTTTACTTTGTGCACTTGACAGCACTGCCAGTTTTCCTGTTTGGATGGGCACTTCATACAGTAACAGGGGAAAACACATTAGTAGGACAGCAGTTGTAAAACCAAAGTAGGCATGAAGCTCAAGGGCAGCTGTAGTTAAAAAAAAGTTTGAAGGTTTGTTCAACTTAAAGTTGGTGTCCCTTCAATAATAAGATATGGTTGACCTCTACAACCTAGGTAACCTTAAGGCTTCTTAGGAATGAGTCACAGAGTACTAGAGTTTTCTGCTACATCTTGGTTAATTCTGTTAAGTTAAGGGTATCAGCAGAGGTGCTCAACTGTAACTCAGTCTTAAGAGATGTGAAAGATATTGTAGCCAAAGAGATGGCATAATACACAAGAGAAAGGTGATATGAAACCTCCTCCCAGTCTCAAGAATAACTTCCAGCTTTTGGTCTTCTCAAAAGAGTCAAAGTTCTCAGCGTTCCCAATTAAATTTAATATGCAGTCATGGGTAAGTGCTATGAGACCAGTGGCTAGATGTAGAGGCAGAGCATTAGCCTTGTGCTGGCCTTGCAGCAGTGGAGTGACCTATAGCATAGTTGGTAGTTCCACCCCTGTAACAAAATGGGAAACTAGGTTATTGCTCCACATGTGCCTGTTCCAGAAGTAAGCTATGAACGGATATATGATTTTTAGTGGTGTTATTGTGAAGCAAGTTTTAATGGCATGCCATGACACTTCAAGACCACTAATTTGACTCTGAACAATTTTGCATTCCATGCTGTTCCAGAAGCCTAAGCTTAGAGCCTAGCTAGTTTTCTTTTCACCTCTGCTCCTTTGCAGAGTCAGGCCTACAGTGTAGTGTAAGTTTGTCTATACAAAAAAGTCTGTGTGCGTGTTTAACAAATCTACAGTGTGCCAACTCCAGGCAACTTGGAACCAAACCCATGTCTGATGGGCCTCACCACTAACTGAGTCAGTACGCCAGTGCTTCAGCTGGCATTTTTCCATTTCTAGATTTAACTCACTTCAGATGTTATGCAAGACCACTAAGATTGTTTGCACCATTAGACTGGGAAATTATGAAAGTTTGCCTCTTAAGATAAGTGAAGCAGTGGAACAGGCTTAGCACTGTACCTCATCTGTGGGTGGACTTGTTTCTCCTCCAAATCCCATAGCCAGCTCTGATTGAAGTTTCTCTTGTTTCAGTACACACCTGCTTTTTTTATGGCTTCAGCTGCCTTTGGTTTTCTTTAAAAGTAGTACTATTTAGGCCTTACCTACACTGTTTTTATACCAGTGCAGTTATGTAAATGCAGATGCCCATTGTATGCTGCAATTTACCCCGGTAAACTAAACTAGTTCAAGCCCCATTTCCACAGATGCAGCATCTACATCAGTGCAATTCTCCTAGTCTAGATAGCCTCTTGGTCACAGCTGCCCAAAAGCTGAAAATTAATGCTATTTCATACAGCAGCTATATAAAGGATGCAGGATTCTTAGGGTTTTCTATATTCACAAGTTGCACTGATATAACCTCAGCTAGTGCACCTTCTGTGTTTTAGCTGGTATTTGTTCAAAACTGGTTATCAGTTCAGTTAATGCCTGTAGATTTAGAGAAGTATAGACCAGATTTAAAATCAAAGTAAGTGTCATTAAATTGCACTAGTCTAAACCAAACTAGTGAAAAACCTTTAATCATATCATTACGACTTGTACTTGGCCTTAAAAGATCAGAAGAAAGTTTACTTGCTTTTCACCTATTAGTCTGGCACTAGCAGTAGGGTAGCTACATTGCTTTTCCCTACATCAGTCTACTAGGGGCAGCTATTTTAAGGTTTGAGAATAAGGACAATTGGTTATTTGCTTAGGGAGGCATTTACATAGCTATCAATACCCTATTTATTTTAATGAGGCGTTGGTTACTCTAGTGCAATACAATTTACTGGCCAAATACATCTACATACAGAGGATTGAAACAGTATTGCTCCAGCATATAAAAATGGGAGGACCCAAGGTCAAGAGTAGTTAAGAATGCCAAGTAGAAAAAGTACAAAATAAAGAGAATTGAATGCAGGGTAAGAACACACAATTATTTTTATATTGTTTAAGCAGCTCTCAGCTGAATAGTAGAGGGTTGGGTCAATTTGGTACATTTATATGTAAAGGTTATGCCAAAGCAGCAGGACGCCCAAACTTTCAGAAACCCACTCTTTGCCCACACCATAGAGACTTTGCCTCAAAAAAGAAGCAGTGTAGTTGTTTACTGTCAGTGATTTGAGAGCTAGAGGTCAAGGTCACGTTGCATTATACACTGCTCAGTTTCACTACTTAAGAGTAATTTACAGCAAGATGGACATCTAAAGCCATTAACAGCCTCTTAAAGTGTTAAGTGAGCACTTATTTTCTCTTTATTGAAAATTAATGTTTATGAGCACTTATTCCTCAAGCCTAGAACTCCTTTCCATTACATACCTGTGTTTATCTCTCCAACTGTAGCTTGTTTGAAGTGACTGTAGATGTACAGCATTTCTTCATCTGTTGGTTGAGATTTCAGTTGCTTAACTTCTTCAGCAGCTTTATCAAACTCAGCCTAAATGAAAAGATCATAAAGTCTACGTTGGTTTTCACTCTTGCCAGTAGATATTAGTTTAAATCTTGAACTGACAAATGTATGGTCTGCTTGAAGATGACAAAGTAGCAGGAAGGACACAAAAATTAAAGTTGAAACCAAGTATCATGACTGGAGTTTACATGAAGGTATGAGACAAGAGATTATAAACATTACATTGTATGTAGATAGAAATGCTAATAATTGTAACACATTAAAAGTCAATTGAACTGTGTTACTAATCAGTAGTTTCAACTCTCCCCTGTGTTACATCAGTTTGTGCCCTGTAGGATGAATGAAAGTCTGCTATTTTGGAAGCAGCAGCAGGATCAGAGATGTTTGCTATAAATATTCCATGGGAAAAGAAGTTGGGAAATCTGCAGTGAAGATTTGGTAGAAAGGAAGCCTTGAACACAGCCCTCAAATGTTAAGTATTCCCACCCCTTCACTCCCCCAATTAAGGAAGTTCACTTTGTGATTCTGAGATTATATAGTCAGACAGTTGGCACCTAACATTTTTGCTAGTAATTACCAGCCATTTCCCACCCCAACCCCATCCAAGTGAATGACCTCTCCCCTGTATATTCTCTCCACCCCCATTCATTTATTGTCTCAACATGTTACACAGCAGATGTTTATGCAAGCATTTTATGTGCCACTTTTGTGGCAGTGAAGTGCTATCCCTTATTTTATAGGGCTGCACATGCACACACAAACTGAAAGTAGTTGCTAGCTTGCTAAAGAGTACAAGGACATGCCAACTCCACAACTTGTGTCCTAGTTGTTACCAAGCCAACATATCCAAGAGGTCTGATAAGAGAACAGTCTTCTTTCCCTTGACACCAGCCCACTGGCTTCAGCAGTGCTTCGTTCAATTACACTGGTGTGAATCTTGATAATCAGGCTACTTGTTCACCATGGCACCTTCACACCAGGCCCTTACTAGCCCCATGGGCAGCAGCCTGAGTCTCCACTACCACCCAGGGCGCCCTTATGCGACCCTGTGCATCCATGCAAACACCTCTCCCTTTGTAAGGCTAATACCACCCCCCATAACTACTTGTAATGGCAGCACTACACAGGCCTCGGGTTACTAGGAGATGGAGAAACAAGAAGGATGCAGCAGACGTGCCCTACGCCGCTTATAACCGCTGCGCTGGGCATGCGGCCCCCCCCCAGGGTAGCTCTCAACCCAGTTTCAGAGTGGGGGCCTGCCCTGCACAACCCCACGGCCGCCTGCAGCCCCAGGCCTTAGCGCTGCAGCGGCTTGGGGGGGGGGGGGGAGCGGCAACTCCCACTTTGCGGGCTCCAGCCCCAGCAGGAGCAGATGGCGGCGGGAGCCCAGCTCGGGCGGGGAGGCCCAGGCTGGCTCCCTGGGCGAAAGGAGAAGCCGCCTGGGTTCAGGTCTCTCTCTCACAGGGAGCGGGAGCAAGAAGCCTCCGGGAGAAGGGCGGAAAAGGGGAAGGGGGGGGGAAGAGTCGCTACCGCCGAGCCAGAGCCGCCCCCTCAGCCTGGGGCGAGGGGAAGAAAAATGGAGGGGCCCCCAGCTACAGGGGGCGAGACCAGGCGAGTGAAGCGACCCCCGCCCCGCTGAGGGGATGGGAACGTGGGGGGAGGGAATGTGAACGGGCCGCTCCCCGCCCCACAGCGCCTCCCCCCAGCGCGGGCTCCCGGTACCTGAGACATAGCAGCGGTCGGGAGCAGCGAGTTGTCGCGCGGCTGATTCACTGGCTCGCGGCCCCGGGCATCTGCAGTCCCGCCTTCCCCCACAGACCCACCCCTTCAGCCATCACCAGAGCGACCGCCGCCCAATCACCGAGCCGGGCTGGGCACGCGGCGCCCGGCGACCAATCACGATTCCATCTGGGCGGGAAGGGAGGGAGACACCGCGCCCCGCCCGCACCAATCCTCTCGCGCGGGAGGCGGGCTCAGGGCTGCCTCGCCGCCAATCACCAAAGGAGGGTTGTGGTCAGAACGCCCGACGCCATCTGGGCGGGAAGGGAGGGAGACACCGCGCCCCGCCCGCACCAATCCTCTCGCGCGGGAGGCGGGCTCAGGGCTGCCTCGCCGCCAATCACCAAAGGAGGGTCGTGGTCAGAACGCCCGACGCCAATCCCGGAACAGCGAGGGGCAAGGCAGAAGGAAACCTGCGCCCAATCACACGGAGCTGTGAAGGCAGGCGAGTGGACGGGGCGGGGATAGACTACCGGGCGGCCAATTGTGGAGCCTTGCACGTTGAGAGAGGCCCCGCCCCTGCGTCGGAAAGCGCGGGGGCAAGGGAAGGTCACGTGACACTGTCGGGTGGTGTGAGGGCGGTAAAGCCGGAAGTGGCCCGGGCAGAGCGGAGCAGTAAGATTTGAGGGGGGTAGGATCTGCTTGATGGGCGGGGCCAGGGGGCGTGGGAGCGCGAGCTCGGGGGAGTGTGGCGGTTGGCGGCCCTGTGGTGGGGGCGGGGCAGAGGGGGCAGTGATGGTGGCTGTAGTACAACCTCCAGCCCGTAGGTGGTGCTGTGTGTAACATGGCCAGCCGTGGGGGCGGGGCAAACACGTCTCTCCAGGGGAGCGCGGTGGCCCGTGGGAGCCTGGGGCAGAGGCCTGAGGTGCTTGCAGCCTCCTGGCGGCCTGCCACGTGGGCGGAGGACAGGGCCCCACTGGTGCCGCAGGAGGGCAGCACAGGTCGCAGGCTCGATGGCGTGACGCTCCTCCCTGCCAGGGCGGGCAGACGGCGGGATTTGCTGCTAAACGCCGCCCGGAACCTGGAGGCCTCCCGAGGTCGTCTTTCGTTTCTGCTCCGGGGAAGACGGCCGGGCATACCTTTAAATCCGTTGCCTGTAATGACAGCAGTCACAAGGATGACCGTGAAAGAGTTCTGGCAAGGCCGGATGCCTGCTCTGTACCTCAGAGAAATGCGGGGTATGAAAGGGTGCGGGCTTGCCAGAGAAGTCAAGGACGAGGGAAATCTGTGGAATCTTTTACAGCCGCTTTGCAGGCCTTGGCAGAAAGTTCTGATTTGAAGGCTATAAAACATGAAGATATCAGAGGTAGACTGGTTATTGGTCTTGGAGATAAAAACACCTCACAGCAGCTATAATTAAAGACCGATTTGACCTTATACACAGGCTAACTACAAAACCCTTCAGACTAAATGCACAACATATGGAAAAAGTCATAGCCCATGAGATTTGTGTTCAGCCAAAGGTGCAAGATGTAACAAATACACAAAATATGGACACTTTGCAGGCGTTTGCTGTACTGAGGCAGTCAAGAGCCATTATTTCTGGGCTCTATCAAGTGTGATGACAGACCCTGCCTAGAGAGTGAAACTGAATATCCATGGAAAGACCATTGAGCTTAAAATTGACTCAGGAGCAGATGTGAAAGTCATGCCAGAAGGGATGTATAATCACCTTGAAGTCCTCCCAGAGCTGAAATCGCTTGACACAATCCTGACTAGCCCTGGAGGTACTGTGAAGTGTATGGACCAGTTCACCATAGAAACAACTTACAAAGACAAAAGCTTTGCATTCAGAGTGTATATGATCAAAGGACCAAACACCAACAACCTTCTCAGCTGCAGCATGGAAGCCATGATGGGCCTAATGAGAAAAGTGGCAGAACTTCTTGGAGTATTTGGTATTGGAGTTTTGGAAGGAGTCTGAGTATAAATAACGTTAAGAGGCAGTGTTGAAATATATAGTGTATGTACACCTGTGAGGATTCCTATGATGTTGCTTCATAAAGTGGAAACTGAGTTCAAGAGAATGGAATAGATTGGCTTAATCGAGAAAATCTCTGAGCCAACATCATGATGTACACAGTGGTACCAATTATAAAGAAAAATGGAAAAATACAAAACTTTGTGTAGAGCCTTATGAAATCGGCATTAATGAGAACATGGATGGAATCATAAAATTAAAACAATAACATGGAATCCAGGCTCTCACCGGCATTAGGACCACAGTGGCAGGCAGACAGGGCGGGCTGCATGGCTGAGCTACGTGCAGCCACTGGAGGTAAGAGACCAGTGGTGTGAGGAGGAAGTGCAGGTGGCTAGGGCCACAAGGGATTGCAGGGGTTAGGGGAGAAGGGTCAGCACCTGAGATTTAAGGGCAGCTTCTGAGAACTCAATTCCTTGCTGTGTCAGTTCCTCGGGGACATCAGCTTCTCCCTAATGTGATGCCAAAATTCCCTCAAGATGCTGTGTCAATACAAGTATTCATTGCACAATTGAACATAGGTTCATTTGAAAGAACCTGTTCATGCTCCTTTACAGAGGCATCATGTAGCTGTGGCTAGTGGGGGGACACAAATGAAAGGTTCTTGGGATGCCCAGCAGCGAGGAGGCAGCAGCACTTACCCTGTGTCCCTGCATTGTTGGGTGGGGGAGGAAACAGCAGCTGACAAACAGAGGCTAGGGACACCATTCCTTAGCCAGGATGGGTAAGGAATGGTGTCCCTAGCCTCTGTTTGTCAGAGGGTGGAGATGGATGGCAGGAAAGAGATCACTTGATTATTACCTGTTAGGTTCACTCCCTCTGGGGCACCTGGCATTGGCCACTGTCGGCAGACAGGATACTGGGCTGGATGGACCTTTGGTCTGACCCAGTCTGGCCATTCTTATGTTTAGGGTGGCTGGCTGCTGGCTGAGCTCCTCCCCACCACTCCTACTACAGCTGCTGCTTCTCCTTCCCTGCTGCGGAAGTCCCACACTTTGCCTCTGCCCCACTCCCTGACTCACCTCAGCGGGTGGTCTGCAAAGCAGGCAAAAGTCACTGGGACTCCAACAGCAGGGAAGAAAAGCAGCCCCATGTAGTGGGGACCTGGAGGAGCTCATCTGGCAGCCAGCCGTCCTGCTGCTTCCTCCCTCCTCACGTGGCTACACGGATACATGCTGCTGCCAGAGGGAGTGCTGCCTCCTTGCTGGTGGGCATCCCAGCCAGAGGCATCCTAAGAAATCTGGGGGTAGGTGACCCTGCATGCCCGCCCACATGTTGCCTCTGCTCCTTTGTGCAGCATCAGTGTCCCCCTCCTCAAAGACACAATTACAATTTTGATTTAAAAAACCATAAAGATGGGTTTAAATTTTTTTTAAATCAGAAAAACAAAATCAGAAAATAATAAATCTGAAAATCCATACATATGGCCCTATGAAATCCAGTTTATTATTGTGGATATAAAAAGACATAGTGAAGCAGTTATGAGAGAAAAACATATCCTCCCAACACTGGATGACTTCCTCCTCAAAGTGAAAGGCATTACTGTATTCTCCATGCTGGATGCCATGAATGGATTCTGGCAAATTGCTTCAACCAGAAAGAGTGTTTGTTAAACTGACTACATCTATCGCACCTTTTGGGAGATTTTGCTTTCAAAGATTACATTTTAGGATTACAAGTGCACCTGAAATTTTCCATAGAAAGATGGCAGAACTTACACAAATGTAGTTGTAGTTTTCATGAATATTTTGATATATGTGTTATCGATGGAGGAGCACAACAAAACCCTCAACAAAGTTCTAAACTTAATCAGTCAATCAGTAGTGCAGCTAAACAAGGAAAAGTGCATTTTCTGCCTGCACCAAACTGAGTTTTTGGGACAGTAACTCAGTAACTTTGGGACAGACAATAAACAAAGATGGAATCGCAGTCCTAGAATGGGGAGAAAGTGAATCCAATTTGAGAATGGAATGTACCAGAACTGAGATGCATACTGGGCATACTAAATTACCTTGGTGAATACCTCCAAGACCTTTGTACAGTGACAAAACCATTGAATGAACTGTTAAAGTGCAGCACATCTTGGCTAGGGGAGACAAATCAAGAAATTGCCTTCAAAAAGGTAAAAGAAATGATCTCAGCAGCTCTAGTTCTCAAGTACTATGATGTGAACAAACCCACAATGGTCAGTGTGGATGCAAGCTGCTATGGCCTAGGTGTTATATTGTTGCAACAACATGGAGCTGAGTGGAATCCAGTTGCATTTTGTTCTTGCTCACTCACAGAAGCAGAAAAATGACATGTACAGATTGAAAAGGAATGCTTGGCTAGCATATGGGCAGGTGAGAATTTTTACGGGTATCTGTAAGGATTGGATTCTTTTTCGGTGATAACTGACTATAAACCACTTATAACCTTCATCAGCAGAAAAGACCTGGATCAAGCACTGCTGAGATGGCAACGTCTATTGATAGGGTTAAAGAGAGTTAACCCAATTGCTAAATATGTTCCTGTGAAAAATCTGGTCGTGACACTTTATCATGGCCAGCATCACACTCAACTACTTGTGAGCTCAGAGATGGCATAAAGGCATATGTGGATGCTGTGGAGGCATACAGACCAGCATCAGAAGAGATACTATACCAGCTACAAAGAGCAATCTCAACAGACATGCAACTTCAACAAATTCTTAGTTACATTAGGGCCAGCTGGCCCAAATATCTGGAGGAAGTGACAAGAGATTATTTTGTGGTACGTGGACAATTAAGCAAATCAACTTGACAAATGATTAAAGGTGATTGCATTGTAATTCCAAATGAAGTGAGAGGAAATATCCTAAACTTCATCCACAAAGTCCCCAAGGACTAACTAAATGCAGTGAATGGGCCATCCAGTCAATGTGGTGGCCGGGTATCAGCAAAGACATAAAGAATTAGTATCTGCATGTGAATGTTACAGAATTAACAACACAAAGGATCTTTAATAACAACACCTCTATCAGGCAGATGTTGGAAGAGACTAGTTGTAGATTTATGCAAATTCAGAAGACATAATTACCTGATCATAGTGGACTGTTTTCTTAGCTACATAGAAATAAGGTACTTGAAAAACCTAACATCTTGCAGTGTTATCAAGAAACTGAAGTGCACGTTTGTTCATTTCCGTCTTCCGGAACAACTAGTGATGAACAACAGACCACGGTTCACCACAGTGGAATTTAAGTAATTCCAAATGAAATATGATTTTGACCATATTACTAGCAGCCCACATTACCCACAAGTGAATGGAGAGGCTGAGAGGGCTAGCAGACAGCCAAGAAAATCCTAAAACAGGAAGGTTCATTTGTTGATCTTCTGAGCTACAGATGAATGCAGATAGCAGCCACTGGTACAGTACAACTGCTGATGGAAAGATAACCCAGAACTACTGTTCCAACTTTGGAAAAGAATCTACAGTAGAACCTCAGAGTTATGAACACCAGAGTTACGTTCTGATCAGTCAGTCAACCGCTCACCTCATTTGGAACTGAAAGTACACAATCAGCAGCAGCAGAGACAAACAAACAAACAAAAAAGCAAATACAGTACAGTATTAAACGTAAACTACTAAAAATTAAAAGGCAAGCAGCATTTTTTTTCTGCATAGTAAAGTTTCAAAGCTTTATTGAGTCAACGCTCTGTTGTAAACTTTTGAAAGAACCACCGTAATGTTTTGTTCAGAGTTACGAACATTTCAGAGTTACAAACAATCTCCATTCCTGAGGTGTTTGTAAGTCTGAGGTTCTGCTGTATCTCCAAAGTGACCAGGTGTGAAGATAGTAGCCAAACTGGATAAAAAGGCAAAAGGAGTTTATGAACACTCTTATAGCAGACGTCATTCAGAGAGCTGCCGGATCTGGAACCTGGTAACTGTGTTTGTGTCCAACTGGATGGAGAAAAAGCATGGGCAGCTCCAGCTGTTGTAAAGAAAAAGAATATGTTGTCCAGACCATATGTGATTGAGACAGATAATGGAGAGTTCAACAGAAACTGCTGACATTTCAGTTTGTTCCTCAGAAGTAACAATCAACAGAGCGAACTCTACGGATGGTTCATGCAGAACAAAAAGAAGATCACTCAAAAATTCAAAACGGATTAGATACAATCATTGCAACTAATGGACAACCAGATGACCAAGTTGTTACTTGTTAGTGTTGTGTAATTAGAAAACCAGTCTGACACAGAGAGACTGGACTTTAGAGATGTGTGATAGTGTAACTTTTATAAATGGTAGGAATGTAAAACTTAAAATGGGAGATGTAATGGAATGTTAAACTGTATTATACTATTCAGCAACTACGTGGCACTGTGTGTAAAATACCTTTCCTGAGATGCTAACAATAATACTCAGAAGTGCTTTAAACTTTAGTGTTTAAACTGCAGTGTTTCTCAAGGACTGGTCTGTGGACTGGTGCCGGTCCTTGAGATCTCCCTGACAGCTTAGGAAGGCAGCAAGCTGGTCCCTGATATCAAAGAGTTTGAGAAACGCTACATTAAAATATCTTTAAAAGAACACATTACTTGCTTGTATCTCCATGATGGAACTTCTGTAGCCAGTCTAAGGGTATGTCTACACTGCCCACATTACTCCGTGGCTGCGGCAGAACTGTGACGTGGGCAGTGTAGACACGCTTCATCACTGGGGGAGAGATCTCCCAGTGATAAAAAAAACCAACACCCCAAATGAGCGGTGGTAGCTTACTGGCGCTTTTCAGTGCTAAAACTTTTGTCCCTCAGGGGGCTGTTTTTTCACACCTTCTGAACAACTAAAGTTTTAGCGCTGAAAGTGGCAGTGTAGACGTAGCCTTAATCTGGTATAGAAGCCTGACCTACTACTAGCAGCCCTACAACCGACTGTGTACAAGGAGTACATGACAGTGACAAAGCAGGTCAGGGGGGTGAGGGATGGGAGGCTGCAGGCCAGGGGGGTGAAGGTGGTGGGGCAGGGGTATGAAGAGCAGTGTGTGTGTGTGATGGGTAGGGAGCTGCCTGTAGGGTCTTTCTCTGTGCTAAGGGTCTTTCTAAGATGCTAAGATGAGTTTCAGTGAAGTCACACAAATGAGGGTCATTCTTGTCAGTTGCCAGCTTGTGCAGATCAAGGAGTGACTGGTTCACATTCTTTTCATTCAATTTTCGGTCCTGTGTGGAGAAGGACCAGGAAAATGTTCACCTCTTTTTAGCATAATTAAAAAACTCTGTTTTCAGATACAAAAGAATGTGTTTTTGTATGTACATGTTATATAAATGAGATGATGTTCTGTGTTTTAACTTGATTATTGTGCTTGAGGCATAGAACTTGGGTCAGTAAGTGTAAATGTTACCTCCTCCCCCCACCCGCAAAAGAGAGGTAAAATGAGGGAACAGAAGGATCCCCGTCCAAACAAAAATGGAAGTGAAACCCTGTGAATTACTTAGAAGAAGGATAGCTCAGGAGTTTAGTACACTTACTTGGGACATAGCAGATTTGTGCCTCAGATCCCCATTGGATAATAGCACGTTCCTACCTCATAGTAGTGTTGTGAGCATAAATGCATTAAAGATTGTGAGGTGCTCAGATACTACAGTAATAGGGACCATATAAGTATCTATGATTGACTGATAAAAACTAAATAAACAATTTAAAACATTTCAGATACAGAAGTCTCCTAGTTATTGGAGAGCAACAAATACATAAAAAATCAATACATAAGAGAGAAATAGAATGGCAAGAGAGAGCAAAAATTTGGTGCAGATAGTTGGAGATAACTGCAAAGGCAGCTGAAATGTAGCTCTGTGCTAAAGACAAACTTCCTGGCACTGAAGCTGTGGCCCAGTGTCATTGTTGCAGAAAGCTAATGAACTAACAGAAATGGAGGAAGTGGAAGAGCATTTACCTCTGAAAACTGGGGATGTTATCAGTGGTAGGAAACAGCTCTGCTGGCTAGAGAGACAGGAAATTGACTATGAAGGTGCTGAACTAAAATCTCTGTCTGACTTTGCTTAAAGGAACAGAGTGGGAGAAAAGCAGACAAGCCAAAAAACCACCACCTACCAGTCCATATTCTGCCTTCAGTTACAACAGTGTAAACCTAGTGGGGGTTACTCTGGATTTATACTAGTGTGAATGAGAGGAGAATTTTGCCCCCTAATCCCTACAAAAATGACATATGTTATCTTCATCACCATTGTTTTGTTGGATTTAATTTGTTATATGATGTAAAGATGAGCCTTAGGTAGTAGCACGGGCATTTTTCTATATGATGTATCTGTGCAATATTGATGTATTATAAATAAGCTTTTATTTTTGTTTATGGTGTCAAATTCTATCCTTTAGATCATAGAGGACAGGCAGACTTTTCAGTGATTTGGACTTACAAATAAATTAAAAGCAAATCATGTATCACACAGCTTTAAACCATTTTTCTGCAATCCTTTTTTTCTTCTTAATATAGGGCCTGACCCCGTGGCTCGTTCATGGAGCTGCCGCTGTTCTCAGTGGGAGTTCTGTACATGGAAAAACTGCAGGACTGGGCCATCTGACATATAGAGTCAAATTCTACTCTTAACATTCTGGACAATCCTGTGTCAGTGAGGAGGCTATGGCTCTGTTCTTGCTCTCATTGTAGTCATGGCAAAAGTGGTACAGAATTGGACCTAAAGGGAGGGAACAGTATGTTTAAAATCTTGTACATTTTTAGCTCTTTGGGAGTGTGAGATGAATGCACCTGCATCTAGTTATTTTAGCTGTTATATTTGTACAAAGAGATAACTCAGTAATTACTCTCTTTAATGTCTTCTAGGGTGTTTGAAGTTAATTCACATGTCATCGGAAAACTCAGCCATTACTGTTCGCCTGGTTCGCTCCTTTGAGCACCGTAATTTCAGACCTGTGGTGTATCATGGAGTTAACTTGGACCAAACTGTAAAGCAGTTCATTACATTTGTAAGGAATGGTAAGGCCACTGTTATTCTTACACACTCATTTTGTCCCTATACTTTGCTGTCTGTGCGTAAGCAGGTGTAGAAGAGCAAATGAATGGGAAAACTCTTGTGGCTCCATTAAAGCTGCCAGCTCCACATGTTCCCCTTTGGGCTGCCGGGGATGAACGGTGGGAAGCCAGGGATCCATGGGGGATTTGGCTCTTGATCCACAGTGGATGCGCAACTACATTTAGGCATTACCTCCCTCTGCACTGCACTAGAAATCCCCATGATCAGTCATGGCAAGACCGGTGGCTGTGCCGCAGTTGGCTCACTGGCCCAAGCTGCATGGGCTGCATTGTCGGGCAGCTACTCAAAAAGCATTAGGGACATATGCCATCTAGCGAATCTCTGGTCACTGTTCCCACGTGACTAGGGGCTACGCCAGTATTTGGCAGAGGGGGAAAGCAAAGGGGGGTCTCATGTGAATGGGGAGGAAGTGTTCTGTGTAGTTATTTTCAACGATGGAAGGCACCACTATATGAGTGTGTGCTCTGGGAATTTTTCTTCCAGGCTGAGTTCTGTCAGCCAGAAATGCACACAGGCACTCAGCATCTCCTGGAGTTGCTCAGCACCAAGCAAGATTGAGCCCATAAAGGAGCTAATTTTCAGCAGTGCGGTTTCCTTTTGGGAGCTGGTTAGCAGTCTCTTTTTCCACATCCGATTCATTTGTGTGTCAGTTGTTTGGGGGCAATTTGCAAATGGGGATGCAAGACTTCTGCCCCTATGAAAATGTTAATAGGATACACATGACAGTAGAGCTTTGGAGGATCAGACTTCAAGGGTCTGATCCTGCACACCTTTCCTTAACATTATACATGTGGGTAGTCCCACTGAAGTCAATGGGGCAACTCACACAAGTAAAGTGTACCATACAATTTGCAGGATCTGGGCTCAGAGTTGTACCGGTGGCTCTTCTACTTTTGATGCTAAGACAAGTTTCCTGATTTGAGATTTATTTCAAAGTTCAAATTCAGAGTGCAAGCTTCATGAAGTAATCATTTAAAAATATAAAAAGAAAATTGTTACAATCCTTTTCATGTAGTCTCTTTATTTTTAATAGATGTGTCTCTAAGAACAGGACTTCCACCTCCCTTTAAAAAATACAAATATGGTATGTAATTTTTCTTATTTTTTAAGAAATGTGTGTACAGTATGTTGTACCAGTTCTCATGTTATTTAACTGCATTACAGTTATTTCCATCTAAATATAGTAAGTCAGGACTAGTTTCCTGAAAAGAGCTGTGACACACACACATGCCCCCACATACACCCACACATTTTGCAGCTGCTTTCAGGAAACAACTAGTCAAGCTAATGGTTAATTTGGCACAGCCCTACTGCGAATGTCATACACACACCATTAGCTTTACATCTTGTGTCTACAAAACCCAACAATTATTATGAACTTCTGTATTCACTTCAGAATTAGGCAGCACATTATACATTTTGCTGCTAATTGGCAAAGGCATTTTGGGATATTAATTTTTTATCATTTTTCTAAGTGCCTTTCTGCAGAGCAGCTTGTGACCCACAGTACTTTGAAATCACAGTCCTCTTCGTGCTTATGCATTTCAATATCCAGCTACTAATTGTGAGGTCACAAGGGATGGCCAAGAAGGAGCTAAAGGCACCGAGTGGAAAATATTTAGATTTATGTACTTAAAGAATTTACATAATATTAAACAAGAGGAGGAGGAAAACATGGCTCAGGTAAATAGGAAAGCTCCTAAATGTAAATTTCGGATGAAATGAAATAGCCTGGGCTAAAATTTAAATCTGATTCTGTGCTCTAATAATTTTTGCAAGTAATGCTGCTCACATGCAAGTTTCCTTGGTGTAAGCAGGTAGACAGCATCATACTTTGAATAGGACACGCTCTATATAGTCCAGATTTATGCCTTTTCTGGGATTTGGCTTTAATTATGCTGTTTGGTGGCTAGAGCAAAAGTGGTGCAATGGGTGACAGCAGGGCATGGAGGTATACAGCATAAAGAATAACTCAAATGACAATAAAACACTTTCCCTGAGACATAAACCTCTCCTAAGATGACCTGTTCCATAAACCTGTCTCCTTACAGATACCTCTCTGCCACCAATGCCATTCCCACCTCCCTCTGTCCAAGGTGGAGTTAGCAAACCACATCTACCACACTGATAAAGCATCTCCCTGTGTGGGGCGCACATATAATTCCTGTGAGTGGTGCTGGGAATTACACACCTATATCAAGAGACTAAACTGGCATAGGGCCTATTTCTCCATTCACACTGATGGGGAATGTTAGGAGGCTTATTCCTTCACCCGCTTCCTTCCCTGGTCCTTCTCGCATGAACAGAGAGCAACAATACCCGAAGTCCAAAGGTGCAAACAATTTGATGTTTATTGGGGTGAACTTCCAGCAAGCATGATTCCAGTTTTCTTCCTTAGTGTCCTCCTTCCCAGCTCTGACACCACAGAGCCTTACACCTGTGTCCTTGTTCCCATTCCTGCCCTTAACAAAACATGATTCCAATTTCCTCACCCACATTCCCTGTTCCCATCTCTCCCACCCACACCCACAGAGTTTTCATGTACACCCACCAAAGCAACAATCTGATCCCCCAGAGCTACCCCAAGGCTCAGTGTTCCCATCATTCCTCCCCTTTTCCTTTTCTTTTACCACACAAAATTCTCTTTTGCCTAACATTTCTTGCACTGTGATTACTCTTTTTACACAACTGTACCCCGATTACACTCCCATCTTGTACAACTAGACACAACCAGGGGCAGCCAAGTTAAGTTCCAATAGAAACCCCTTCCATCCTTTAGTGATTTTGATTACATTACCCAAAAGTCAAATAATTTTGATCAGATTCTTTCTCTGCCTGCTGCCTGCAGCAGTCCCTTATAGACCATTTCTGTGGGAAAAGGGCCCATTTTCCCTCAGAATAGCTGTAAAGGCTTCTGGGGACAGAAGCGTAGTGGTGGTAGTAGCCACTCGACCTGACCCCCTTGGATAATTTAATTACCAAGCTTCCATCCAATGTGACTGCACAGAGTTGCACATACAGTTACATTTATATACCTGGGTTTTATCATTAAACAAAAACTTCCTTCTTGACATCTCACATAAGTATCCAAAGTACCCTCCATTAAAACTTCATTAAAACAAAAGAGTATGGAAAGGCAGGTTGCACTTTGAAACTTTTTTTTTTCTTTCTCTCCACTCCCCCAGGACCAAGTCCCAGCTCCAGTCTCTAAAGGTAGTCTGTTAACTCTGCTTTTGATTATAAACCCTTTTGTGCCAAATCATCTTTCACTACCCCTAACTAATTTACAACCCTTCAGCAGCCCTTGCTGAAGCAGCATCAAACTTGAAAGATTCCTGGCAGCTTCCCATAATGCTGCCCTCACTTCAAACCACTCACAAGCGGACTGAAGTGCCTCCTTTCCCTGGAAGGCATCCAGTCCCCATGGGCAGGGACCTTCTTCTACTACCCATATACCAAGGAGGGTGGGCTCCTCAGCCACCCCCCATCCCTATGGGTCCCCTAACACTTCCTCCATTTCCTTTTTAATCTCATCCCAGGTTGACCCCTGCACCTGGTATGGGCCCTGGTTCTTCTTTATCCATTTATCCGAAAAATCCTTTACTCTGGCTTGCCAGAACCTGCAACTACCATCACAAGAGTTCGCGATACCCCCTCCAAGCAGCTGCGCGGACTGTTGGGGAGGGGGACTTACAGGCTGCCACTCACCTATTCAATGCGATGCATCCGAGTCACGGCACCAAGATGTTAGGGGGCTTATTCCTTCACCCGCTTCCTTCCCTGGTCCTTCTCGCATGAACAGAGAGCAACAATACCCGAAGTCCAAAGGTGCAAACAATTCGATGTTTATTGGGGTGAACTTCCAGCAAGCATGATTCCAGTTTCCTTCCTTAGTGTCCTTCTTCCCAGCTCTGACACCACAGAGCCTTACACCTGTGTCCTTGTTCCCATTCCTGCCCTTAGCAAAACATGATTCCAATTTCCTCACCCTCATTCCCTGTTCCCATCTCCCCCACCCACCCCCACCCCCTCCCACCCACACCCACAGAGTTTTCATGCACACCCACCAAAGCAATAATCTGATCCCCCAGAGCCACCCCAAGGCTCAGTGTTCCCATCAAGGAATCAGGAGGTGAAAAATGGGAGCAAGTGGGAAATGTGTCGGGGATTGGAGTTTAATTTGTTAATGTCTCTATCTTCAACTTGTTTCTCTGAATTTAGAGGATAGATGTGAATATTGTATTGTTTAAGGACTTACAATTCTAGAGATTTGAAACATCTGTCTTTGGAGTGCTATTCTTCCCTTTGGTGGCAAATGAAGGAGACCTGTGCTATCATTTTATTCTTTATGCTGTGATATACCTGCAGGTCCATGCACAACTTTTGGTCTAGTCACCACACATGGTATCAGGGGAGATTTGCTGTGCGCATGTGCTTGTGGACATTTGGCTAATTGCTATTCAGAAGATTGAACAAAATACTGTACAATCAAGGGAACAGAACTACACCAGTGCAGCAGTTTGATTCCTGTTACACTAGCTCAGCCTTAGCCTCTCAGCTTTAGGTGCCAGTCATGCTGAGTTTGCATGTAAGGAAACAAAACCAAGCTGCTGATCTTTCCTCTGAGGCCTACCCTCTCTCCTTGACTTCTCTACTGTGGTAGTGGGTAGCACCACCATCCTCCTCATCGCATGGGCCTTTCATCTGGGCTTCTCCTGTAATTCTGCCTTCTTTTGGTTCTCTCAGCCCATCACTGTACAAATCTTGCTGCTTCTTCTTGGGCAGCATCATAAAGGGCCAGCCTTACCCCCACTCTGACTCATCCCATCTAGACCCTGCTTGCCCCTCACCTTGACTTATATGTTTCTTTGTATTACGGTAGCACCTAGGAGCCCCAGTCATGGACCAGGAGCACATTTTGCTAGGCGCTGTACAAACAGAATGAAAAGGTGGTGCCTACCCCAAAGAGCATCCAGTCTAAGTTGTGCAACCTCCTCCAGTCTGGCTTGACTGTTGCTGCCTCATTTCCTCAGATTCATTAAAAATGCTGCTTTCAAACTCATCTTCTTGGCGCTTTACTTGGACTAAAGCCCCCTCCTCTTTGTCTCTCATTGGCTCAACCTTCTCCACTGCATCTTACCTAAAATTCTTGTTCTCACTGTCAGAACCCTTCACTGTTTAGTTTCTTCCTGTCTATCCATCCTACTGTCATCTTACTGTTAAGTTGACTCTGCCTGTGTGGCACCTACGATGTCAGCCTTGGTCGCCCACTTGTCTGCTTCTTTCCCTTTTGCACCTTTTCCTGTGCATATTAGGCAATATGAGGCAAAGCCACCATGTTATCCTCCTTTGAATCCCTCCTTAAAACACACCTCTACCATGTTTCCCACAGAGAACTGTCATCTGATAATGGCTGGGCAGGTTGAAAGCTGTGATTTCTGCTTCTGATTGGCTTACTCCATCTACAAATTGTGCAGACAGCTACTAAAGCATCCCATTATTTTTACTTCATTCCCTCCAGCCTTTTGTTTGTCTGACACATCTCACGTTTTGTCTGTTAGATTGTAAACACTTTGGAGGCAGGGACTGCCATTTACCACATGTCGGTACAGTGCCTAGCACAATGGAGACCCAAACTGGTGCAGTCCTCTAGGCCCTACCCAATACAAATAATACAAAGAATTGTCATCTGAATTCATTACACTTTAGTACCTCATGACAGTATTTTATATCAACAGTCACAAAAGGCCTGTTACTATAAACACAAGGTCAAATTTATTTATGTGCTCAAGTGAGTTTGGGGTAAAATGGTTAGCAAAAGCAAATGGGAGGAGGTGAGGCTTTAGTCTGGATTTGAAGATGCTGATATTTTATCTACATGGTGGAGCTGGAACAGCCTCTCTTTAATAGGGCAAATGGTTAAATGCAAAAATGTCTGTGGTCAGTGGTGGAGCTGTGAACAGATAAAATCAAGAGTGACTCAGAGACTGAATGGGTAAGTAAGAAGTCAGGTCAGAGAATGGAAGTGTGAAGTTGTACTAGGATTTGAAAACCAGTAGGCTGCTTTTGGACTCCATTCATTGGGGTATAGAGCTGGCTGAGGTTAGTAAAGATCGTTGATAGTCCGCATGTTCACTTCCCAGAGATGAAAGCTTAGTATGTTTTCAGTGTGATTATTTGGTCTTCTTGCAGTACCTCTGTGTAACGGTAAGATTCCAGTAAGTGATGTTCAATGCACGTCTTGCTTCTAAGATATATGGGTAGTACTGCAACTGGTACTGTATGCTAAATCTGCCTCTGTAGTGACCTTTGCAGCGGGAGAGCAAGGCAATCCAACTCTCCTTAAATGCGATGAATACAACGTACAAAATGGGCTGAAGTGATGTGTATTTTCATGGATTAAAGCCTTGTCAACAAACCTCTAATTGAGAATGTGATCTTTATTGTACCAGAGCTCTGAATACTCAGTCACACCAATTTGAAAGTTACTCTAGTCCACATTTTTTCCCCCTCTAGACTTACAAGTAGGTAAATAGCATCAAGTTTCTAGCTCCTTTGCTGAAAAAGCACTCGTCCTATTTTGAGTTTGTTCAAACATAGATGTCTTGGAATTCTGCTTTTATACCTGTGTATGTAACAATAGCATCCTTTTACTGATTCTGCTCCCTGTTGTGCGTTCTGCCATCTCTGCTTATTTTAAAGTGACAAAATTAAGTTGTTACTACTTTTTTCTCCTGCTAGCAGAGCAGAGCCAACACCGTGGGAGAGCAAGTTGGGTTCTCTTTCTTCTTGTGCAGCATCAAAAGATTCGTTTATTAAATTTCAGTCACCTTCCTCACTGAAGATAGATTGCATGGGTATCATGGAGGGCATAGGATGAAGACAATGGGATAGCGTAAATGTCCTTGAGACCCTAATTTGCCTGACAGAACTTCTAACACAGGTGGTAATACTCACAAAGAAAAGAACCTAGATTGATTCTCAGATTTCAGGTTTGGATTGCAGGGCTAGCTGCTAGTGGAGAGAGTTTTGTTTTTTCCTTTTTGAACAGAGAACACTTGAAAATCCTCAAGAGATGACAAACATGGAATCCTCACAGTGCCATTGTCCAGTGTAATGAACCACATCTTAAGGGAAGTTTTGTATTTTCTTCCAGATACAATGAAGATTATTCACCAAGCACATGGATCTAAGGTACATTTGCTATCTGTTCCTTCCCCCGCCCCGCCCTTTTATGTGTGTATACAGCTAGATCTATGCACTTCTAGAGAGCATAATGGCAGAGCTAATAAAATCTGCATTTATCTTTATATTCCTATTTACTTATTTCTAGACCAATGAACTTGTAGTGAGTTTGGAGGATGATGACAAACTCATTTTAAAAGAAGACAGCACTTTGAAAGCAGCCGGAGTAGGTAGGAGTACTTTATATTGACTGACAGTACTGATCATTGTGCTTGTCATTATACTGATAACTGGCTGATTATGTTTGGATAGTCTGCTGAAAAGTAAATGCTATTCCTGATGCTCTTTACACTACCTGGTAATTATCCAGGGAAGAAGGGGGGATACTGCACATTCACATTATTGGGCTGAGGGCAGCAGGTATGTGCACTCCAAATGCTCAGAATGCAAATTGTGATTTTTAGAAGGTGTGCTTAGAATTCTGCTGAGGGTAATTTTAAATGATTGACAGATAAGATTAAGCGGACATAGTACTAATAACCTATCTGTAACATTTAAACTGATGTTTTGGTTCAAAGTTTAAGTAGTGGAATAATGAAATGAGATTAGATTTGTTTAATGTGCAACACAATATTCAAATTGCACAGGGCAGCACAAATAATATCATGTAGAAAGTGAGCTGAACATAGCATGTGGTTAAAATCAACCTGAGTCCGTGCTCTCTGACAAAAGAATGCATATGGCGCATGTCTTGTGCTAATAGTATAAAGAAATGCCTATATATGACAAATTTGATAGTCGCTGGATGTCATTTTGGCTCCATGCAAAAATGATTTTGTGGCAGCAGAGCAGCTGAGACTTTGAGGCCCAATTCGCAGGCTTTGAGACGGCACTGGTTAGTTTAGAATGTCGCTTATTTAAATCTGGTGCACAACAATCTTACGCTCTGGGTGAAAGATCACAGAGGAAGTTAGAAATGGAAGAACCCATTCAGCATTAGGCCACCTAGCCTCTCTCCAGCCAATGCAGGATTTCCCCCTACAGAGTACTATTTAGCACTTTTTCTGATCTAGTTTAAAATCCTTCAGTTCAGTGGTGCTTCCTCCACCCCCCCTTAGGAGACTATTATAAATCTTACCATTGGGGGAAAAAAAATGGAACATCAGAAAATACTCTCTTGGTTTCATTTCTTTACTCCTGGTTATTCTCATTGGGCCACACTGATCAATTCCCCTTTCTCCTTGGCATTTATACCTGATACTTTTAGTTTCTCCCCCTTTCCTCTTTGCCCGCTACCCCTTATTCTATACTGTAATCTGTCTGAGGAGAGGACACTCTCATACTATACTTATGTACTGTGCCTAGCTTAATGGGCTGCTGATATCAGGCCTTATAGAGGACTGGGCATTATTATTGAATATTAACTGTTGAACTGTTAATATTGTTGAATATTAATAATAAAAGTCAATCTTTAGCCTTCCCTGCTAACTCAATCCTTTTAACCCAGATGAAAAGCAGTTCTTCAGGAAGGAGGGTTATTGGCAGTTTGAAGACTTCAAAGTCTTGTAATTTAGTTAGTATATGCCTCTTGTCAGCATGAGTCTTACCTACCTAAGACTTGAGGTAGCCTGGCTTAGAGGTCTAGGCAAGGAGCTGGGAAACAGTGGCAGATATTTGCTTAGAGCTGCCCTCCTCTAGCGCTGTCCTCCTCCAAGACACCATTGATGAATTATTGTACATTCCTACCTTTGAAACAGGTACCATAGTCCTAGTGGTGGTATAACTTGATGCAATCTCAGTAAAATATCAGCACATCAGAGTAATCTTGTTCTGAAAACAAACTGCGATAAACTAGACTGCTTTTATTTCTCTGAATGTAGGGGAGGAGGGAATGGTTTAAGGATGGAAGAAAAGTAATTAAAACGATACCTCCATAATTATTCAGGTTAACTATATACTTAGAACAAATGCTAACTGCATCAATGCCCGACTGCTGTATGAGGTAGAATGAAGTTCTTGCTGTGTAATGTGGAATATCCTCTTAGACTTGCCAAGTTTTGAGGTTTTAGAAGAGCTGTTTTTGTGTTCTGATATATTAACGTTTACCTCAGTGTGAAAAGCTCTCTTCCACTGACTTACAGAAGCAATAGTGTAGTAAGACCTTTGGCAACTCTGTATTTTTATCCGTTTAGAGTAGATTTGCATTTCTGGTAAGTAATAAAAACATAGCAAAAGCTCTTCGGAGTAGGGACTGTTTCCATTCTATGTTTGTACAGTGTTTAGCACAATGAGGTCCAGGACTAAGATTCCTAGGCACTATGATAATATAAAGAATAAACAAAATAAGTGATGCACAGTATCATGTGACAGTAGTTCTGGTCCTGAACCTGCCTCCATTGAAATCAATTGCAAATCTCCCATTGATATGTTTAGATTTTAAATATGTTCGCTGCACAACATTTGCTAGAGGCAAACACTAGAATTTTCCTTTTCAAAAAGCCAGGAGCCCAATCCTGTGAGGTACTGAGCACCCTCCTCAACTACAAAGGATTGATTTTAGCATTCGGCAGGATTGGGCTGGAAAGATGTAAATTATGAGGCTATTAGATGAGCATCTTTAGGAAATCCTCTGTGGTGGTGATTATTATTACAGCTATTATCTAGTCAGCAAAGTTAATGTGTGCCTATTTCTAGAGCACGGATGTATGTTAATAAAGTGTTCAGCATTCATTGCAAACAATCTTGTCTTTTTCCAAGTCAAGATTCTAAAACCTCCTGCTCCTTTTGTATAAGACAGGCAGACTTCATTAAATTCAGGTTTAATTTAAAAAGCAAAGGCAGAACTTATTGGCTCAGCACCTTAAAGAATTCCATGTTTAATAATTGTGAAGGTTTTCCATCAGATTTGTCTCCACTCTGAATTAGTAATGTTGCTGACTTATTGTTTTAGAAGAGGAAGTCCTTGACCTGCTGGGCTGAAAGAATTGTGACTGCTCTGAACCTTTGTGGGTCCTTTAGCTGTGCCATATCCCCTGTGAATAATTAGAGGTATTTGAAGGTATTGCTGGGGAAGCCAATTTGTGTCGTTCACTTTGCATATTGTTGAAGCCTTATGAATTAATCATTAGCAGGGCAAAAAATTAACTTCTTCAGACACATATTTTGATGGGCCATGAGGGAGAATGTAAAGTGATCTGTAAAATATTCTACTAATCCTCTAAGTATTAAATTATTATATCCTGCAGGCTTATTTCAGAAAAAAGAGGTTTTTTCTCCCTCCTTAACTGAATAATGGATTGAAAAAAACCCAAGCTTTGTTGTTTTCTAGGATTCTGAGAAAGAATAAATGTGCAATCTCCTAGGTTGTCCAAATTGTTTTGTAGCCTTTGGTGAAATTAGACTTGAAGGTTTCTGCAGATGTTTGTTTACATTTATATGCCAATGTTCTAGTTCTTTTTAACCAGACTAAAACACATGGTAATTGGGTCTAACGTAAAAATAAACAACGTGGTGACTAGTGATTGCCTTTAACCAAAAAGGCACCGAATGCATTCTGAGGTTCTAATTAATGTTAATAGGCTGCTATGTGGTTAATACAATAAGCATATGCTTTTATTGGGCATGCTGAATATTTATTTTTTATCCCTTTCAGCAAATGAAACTGAATTAGCGTTCTTCTGTGAAGAAGATTACAGAAACTACAAAGCTAATCCTGTTTCGGCCTGGTGACGATCCCAAGAGAGCTGGGTTTTTTTGTTTTCTCATACCCGTTTAAAACTCTTTTTTTTTCTGTTTAATGAGATTTTTTTTTTAATCAATAAATCCTAGAGGATTGCCTCACAAATGCAGCAATTTCTTTATTGTATAAACTCATTTCTCTCAGGATGCTGAGATCCAGGGGGGAAAAAATCAATGACACAAATTTGCTTTCCTTTCATACATTTCCCCTCTCCCCCCTTACATCTTACAATGTAAACAGTATAGATGAACTCAGACCTGTAACACACATTCTGGTGGTGTGATTCTACAGTGGTGGATTAAGTATAAGAGTCGTTAGCTATGTATGTAAAATCCTGTCATAATGGTATCCTTTTTTTATGGGAAAAGGAAACTTTTTATGACCAACTCACTGGATATTTTCAAGAGCTTAGTGATGGAATCCCTAGGTTACAAATAATAGCTTTATTTCACTCATCTTATGTTCAGTCTGTCTTGTTTTAATGGTGCAGGCTGATTCAGTTTCATATTCTTCAGTTGTGAATGCTTTCCTTTATACTCTATATTCCAGCCCCTTTTAGTGTGATGAAACAGACAAATGACTGTTTGGAAGCTTTTGTGTTCAAGGACCAGCCTGATTGTTTTTAGCATCATTTCACAGAGATGCCTTGGTGTAAGGCGTAGCAACTTGACTTCTTGTGTGACATCAGTATGCATAAGCAGACATCAGGCATTTCTCCAAATGGTGTGAAAGCCAGTGAACGCTCCTCGGTTCAGTTCAGTATTAAAATAAAACCCGAATGATTGCGTTTCTTGTGAGGGGAGGCACAGTCTGTGGGCAGCTGTTTCCATGACAGGGAGCAATTCTTTCCCACTTTCTTGGAGATGAGTACTCCCGTAGTGTCACTATCTATTAGTTCCTGGAACTTCTATACTCTTCTGCTACATTCACCAAATTAAGAACAAGTAGAATAGTCATCCTAGAATGATTAGACAGACTTGCTCTCCAGGAAGAGTTAATACTGCTGTTCCATGAAATTGCAGGGATAAGGCAGCGGCACTTCATGGGCTGTGCTGTACAATAGCATGACAGAGCCTTTTGTTATGCTCTCGAACACTGCTTGTATACTGTGACTCTTTCTGAAATACTGTTCTACTTGTGTTACTTTCACCAGCTCTTTAAAGCACTTCAGTCTTCCAAAAAAGGCATAGAAAATCACCAGGACTTATTATTCAAACTGAGAATGTTGGAACGGAATACAGAGAGGATTGGTAATGGAATATGGGGCCTTTCATCGCTGGAAGCTGGTTTGATTCTGGAGCAGTTGAGTGTGATTAGCAGTTGAGTGGTGAACAAAAGTTGTTGGCATCCATTACTTCCAGTAGCCAGTGTGAAATGAGTTAGAGGTCTCTGTCCAATTTCTTATGGAATGGTCAGCTCATTTTCACAAGAAAACACCACCACAGTTGGTACCCTGGTTTGTGGTCTTAGCAGAGGCCCTGACTAAATGGGTACGGAGATTGAACTAACATCTGATCAGAGGTGATTTTCCCCATGGCAGTGTGGGCTAGTTTATACTGATTTTGCTTGTGCTCTTAGTCATTGTGGGAATAATGAGGATTTTACTTTCCAGGGCTATCAGCGTGTCATCTCTCACCTCATCTGTCTATCAGTTCTAAATTAAACTATAAACCAAACAGAACTGTAGTCTTTATCTTGAGTTGCTTTGATTTTAAATCAGCCTGAGGTTTACCGTCTGATGGATGGTGGAATAAACTGACCCTCCTGCAGAAGAAACAGATCCAGGACTTTGTATGGATCACAATAGTTGGGAAGGGATAGTTGCAATGGGAGAGGCCAGAGCTGGGGAAAAGTGGCATCAGGGAGTGGAGGCTTAGTTAGATGTTGACGTGGGAAGATGTTTGCAGTGGGACCAAAGAGGAAGTTTGAATGGGAAGGAATTGCCAGCAGGAGCAATGGTGCCTGGCTGAATAAATTCTCAGTTATATCTAGTCAGCTGGATACAAAACCAGTCTTCAACTGTCCTAATTTTTACACATTAAAACTGTCACTTTGTTCGCTTAAAATACCTTTTGCAAACCTTGATTGTGCAGGCACCTGAATTTTCCAGAGACAATTCTGTTACCTCCTGACATTCATGCTGCTTTTCTATTTGTTAAGAAAAAATTGCTGGCATGGATATTTATAATGGGTATGTTAAATGCTCCCAATTGTCATTGGCTAAGACACCTTCCCAGATCTTCAAGGAGGAGTCTAAGAGGTATGTTGTACAGTGTCAGTGTTAATTAGGGGAACCGATTTACCCTCTGAAAGTTATTTTGTTCTAGAAGAGATCTGCAAGTATTGAATGGAGAAGGACAAATGCTCCTCTTTTGGTTTTGAGGGCATTCAGCACACTACCTTCCAATTAGTTCATTTGAAAAAATATTTGCAGGTAACCTTTAGCATGTAGCACCTGTCACTGGTCTAGAACAGCTGTGGATTCCTGTCCTCCTTGCCCAGTAGTAGAGAAACTGACTTCAGGCCTTGAGGAAGAGGGATCCTTGAAGCCAACAGGGTGGGAATGTGATTAGAGGACATGCTGTACTTGTCCATGCTTGGTCACATCAGTAAGAAAATAATGGGCTCTCTTTGAAGTTAGTGGCAGCAGGATCGCTGGAAACACTTAGGCTATGTCTACACGGGACAGAAAAAAATGGGCAGAGTTTTTTCACAGGGAGTTAGGTCGCTGATGATAAAGCGCTTAAAGAACATTGCTGTTGTGTGTTCACATTGTCTTCCATTGGCAGCATAGCGTGTTCACACTTGCGGCACTTGCATCAGCAATGAGAGCAGTGCACTGTGGGTAGCTATCCCACAGTCCTGCTCTCCCTCTTCTGCTGCTAGGTCTTGTGGGAAGGCACAGGGGATCATGGCGCATCATGGGTCCAGGCTCAGTGCCCCGTGATGCACTGCTTTCCGTCCCAGCATTCCATGTGCTCCCGTCTTCAGTTTGCAAAATTTTTCAACGTCTCTTGTTTTCTCCTTGCCCTGCCACATCTATCTGCAGGAATGGATCCTGCGCTGATCTCCACTGCTCTGCTAGCTCTCACTAGCACATCACGAATAGCAGTGGAGTTATTCTTGAAGTTACGAAGGCAATGGTAGTCACAGTTGCCTGACGTGTCCGACATGGAAAGCAGCAACATTAGATTGCTTTTGGCATTCACGGAACAGCTGATCACAGTGGAATGTCGCTTTTGGGCTCTGGAAACTAGCACAGAGTTGTGGGATTGCATTGTTATGCAGGTCTGGGATCATGACCAGTGGCTTCAGAATTTTCAGATGCAGAAAGTCACCTTCCTGGAACTGTGTGGTGAGCTCTCCCCAGCACTGTGACGTAAGGACTCCTGAATGAGAGCTGCCCTCTCAGTGGAGAAGTGCGTGGCGATTGCAGTGTGGAAGCTGGTGACTCCAGCCTGCTACCAGTTGGTCGTGAACCATTTTGGAGTGCGGAAGTCGACTGTTGGGGCTGTGTTAACGCAAGTGTGCAAGGCCATTAGTCACATCCTACTGTGAAAGACCATGACTCTTGGCAATGTGCATGAAATTCTGGATGGGTTTGCAGAAATGGGTTTCCCGAACTGCAGAGGGGTGACAAGGGGTTCTTGCAAAAAATTTTTTGGTGGCCTCACAGTGCGGCCACCAACTCTCACTGGTAGCCGCACTGACACTTTCCCCCTAAAATACTTAATTAACTTTAGGAAAAACAATTAAATATGCACAGGTTCACATCCAAATCATTGTAATGTATATTTGTAGGGTTTTTTGGGAGACTCAATAACAAAAACGATGCTGCCTCCCCCATCCAGGGCTTAGTGCAGGGGTCTCAAACTCAAATGACCACGAGGGCCATATGAGGACTAGTACACTGGCCTGAGGGCTGCATCACTGACCCCCCCACACCCGCTGCCCCAGCCCCGCCCCCACTCCACCCCTTCCATGAGGCCCGCCCCTGCCCCACCTCTTCCCTGCCCTCATTCTAACCCCTTCCCCGAAATCAACATGGGGTGATCTGGAAAGGTGCATGATACCTGTATCTTTAGGAACACTGGCCTGTACAGAAAGCTGCAAGCAGGGATTTTCTTTCCAGACCAGATCACCACAGGGGAAGTCGAAATGCCCAGTGATCCTGGGAGACCCAGTGTACCCCTTAATGCCATGGCTCATGAAGCCGTACATGGAAAACCCAGATAGCAGTAAGGAGTGGTTCAACAACAGGCTGAGTTAGGTGCAGAATGACCGTTGAATGTGTGTTTGGCCGATTAAAGGTGCGCTGGCAGTGCCTGTATGGCAGATTAGACCTTAGGGAGGAGAATATTCCCACGGTTATAGCCGCATGTTGCACACGGCATAATATTTGTGAAGGGAAGGGTGAAAAATTTACTCGGAGTGGACTGTGAAGGCAGAATGCCTGGCTGCTGATTTTGAGCATCCCGATACCAGGGCTATTAGAGGGTGGAACGTGGGGCAATAAGAATCAGGGATGCCTTGAGGCAACACTTTGAAGATAAAAACCAGTAATGTTTGTTGCTATGATTGGGACTGCAATGGTTAATTAAATTTGATATGCTAGGAAGCAGTAGTGATTGTTAAGGCCTAGGATTCAATTAAGGAACTGACAGACATGCCTGTTGATTTGCAGGTGCCATCTGCTACCATAACTTGCATGGAAACATATAAAGAGTGCTTATAATTCAAAGAACTTTGCTTTTATTGAGAAATAAATCACAACCCAACACTACACACAGATATATAGACACACACAGATTCCTGGGGGGAGAAGATACTTGGTGGAGGGAAGGGGGGTTGACTTTCAGAGCTGAGCATAAGTCCAGCTTTCGTTTGAAATGCTGTCTATGGGGTGTGTGTGTGTGTGTGGAGTTTAGAGGAAAGCACAAAGTGTCAGAAAGCAGAAAGGAATGTGCAGGGGGAATTCTGAATGTGTTGAAGGGGAGGGCAAGCACGCATCTGCTCAGTCTGGACCATTATGAGAGACTGGAACATGTCAGTTTGATGGTCCAAAACTTTTATCAGACTCTCTGTGGCATCCCTATTGTACGCATCATT